TATCGGACCTTCTTTGATCTTTAAAATCTCTAATGTACAACGGAAAATGAAGATTAGATAGATTTTTTATGAATATTTACACCGACATAAATATTTGATCTGCTCACTGCAATCCAACACATATTTACACCGTTTAATTTAATTTTACATAAATATTTATACCATTTTTTTTGTGTATTACTACATATTAACTATGATTTCCATAAATATTTCTATTTTTTACCCAGTTTAGTTTAATAAATTATTCCTTCATTGAGTGCAACTTTTTTAATAGACCGAATAGATAGACCAATCCTACATGAATATTTAGTTTATCGAATCCAATATAAATAATTACTCACATTTGGAACAATTTAATGGTAACTATTTACCCCGCTCAACAGGATCGGCTCGAGGGCAAAAGTATCCAGTGGCGGATAAATGAGTGGGGGTGGGGCCGACGAGGTGGTGACCCCGGGCAGCACTCCCTGTGGGGGCACATCCGATGGAGTATATATTATTTTTGTTGTAACAAAGGCAGCGATAATGAAGAAGAAACATTTCTTTTTGTTTTTATTTAGCAAATATACCTAAAATTTAGATATTAAAAATAGATAAAATAGTTTTTAATTTTAGTTTTAAAATATCTATATTTGTCTGCTGGTACCTATTTGATTCCAAAGTTTTTTCACACCTGTGTGAGAAGTCCAAGACTTTGGCGTCAGTTCTTTCATTTTGATTTTTCATGTCTGTTAATTGGTAGTGAAAAGAAAGTTCAAAAGATATAAAGGGTGGGTACGGACACAGAATGCCACAAAATCAAAGACTACTTAAAAAAAAAATCTTATTTTATTATTGAAATAGTTACTTTTTCATTCTTGTCGAGTTAACTCCTTTCAGATTAAAACCTGAAAAACCAAAGGAAATTTGGCATCAACATAAATGCAAGTATTTATCTTTTCTTTTTGTTAACTCTAATTTAAAGAAATTTAAAACGTGTTTTAAGAAAATAATGAAAATCAATTGCTAGCATTTTTTTTATTAATCTTTGTTTCGTATATTTTTTAATGTAAAGTGAAATTTTAAATTGTTTTCTTTCTAGAAGTAGAATGTAGAAGATCTTTCTTTCAATTGTAAGGACTGTTGGATTTTCTCGCCCATTTTGCTCGGTATTCGCCCGAATTTTGGATAAAATTGATTGTTGGGCTTAATTGTATTTCTTGTCCTGGAATAAAATTTTAATTTAGTTATTAAAGTGTTGAGAATCTAACTTTAATTCAATGTATTAATCGCTGGCGACCATTTCCTTTTATCTTGCACCAAAAATATTTAGTATTGTTTTAGAATTTTACAACCCCCCCACCAAAAAAATAAACATTTTTACACCAAAAAATAAACTTAGAACATTCTTTTTACACAAAAAAACAAGTTTTAACGAAATTTAACGAATTTAAAAGCAAAAATGAAGAGGTTAAAAATCATACTAGTCGAGAATTTAAGAATACCAAAATGTCGTCAATTTCTTTTCGGTGACAGGTAAAAATTTGGTATAAATGTTTAATTTTACATATGTTAAAATATATTAGAATTTTTTTGTCAGGACAAAAATACCATTTCACGTCAAGAATTGATTTTATCCAACTTTTTGGACGAATACCGAGCATAATGGGCGAGTAAATCCAGTGATCACTATAGTACAGTTGAACCTGTTTTATTAAAATTAAATTTACGAACTTCTAAACGAAATTGCAAATAAGATACAGCATCAAATATTTCATTAAAGTTGAACTAAATATTATTATTATTATTATTATCATTATTATTATCATTATTATTATTATTATTATTATTATTGGTACCTTCATGAGATCGCTGAAAAAAAGAGCATAGCTTGATGAAAAAGACGCCAAACTTGACGAAAACAAAATTTTAGCGTCTAAATGTTTTTAATTATTAAGAGAAAAGATCAAAGTAATTTTTAATTATTTTTTAAAATTTGTTCCTCCTTTTTAGAACATTCTAAATTTTGATTAAATAAGCCTTGTTTCTCTTTGTATCACCGGAACTAGTAAAATAACATAAAATTTTAGCGCTTTTTTTTCTGTATGACAGACATTAATTTGAAAATCTTGTAAAAATAAAAATAATTGTCGGATTTTAATGAAACCTTCAGAAACTTTTCACAAATGATGGAACTTATTATAAATATGTTTTCCTTTGTTAAACTCATGGCAAAAATATTTGTTATTACCCCCCCCCCAAACAAAAATATTATTTAATTTCAAAAGCTTTTAATTGCTTTTAATTTTAATGAATCAAAAGCTTTTAATTGCTTTTAATTTTAATGAACATGGATAATATTGTCTGAAAGCAAAAAGATATTTCGATGAAAAATGAATTTTTAAAACATTATTTATTATTTCTGAAATATTTTATTATTTTTACATTATGTTGTTAATTCTTCTAAAATTAGGGAAAAGTGTGTAGAATTTAACGAATATTGTTATTAAGTAGATACCTACAAGTATAATTTTATGAAATTTAAATTTTTATTTTATGTACGCTTCTAATAAAATTTCATAAGAAAGTTACCTATAAATTAATTAGATACCTTTCTTATGAAATTTAATCTTACTCTCAACAGTCTTACTTTAATTTCTTTATAATATATTTTCCATAAAGCATCGTAAACGTAAAGGTGAAAGCTAAGTACAAAAAAAAAATTAGAGCGCTGAAAGTAAGTTTTCCTTAAAAATAACGAGGCAAATAATTTGTTCACTTAAATCTAAATAACTTCATTTCTCTCCTTCCGTAGGAGGAATTATCCTCACGTAAGCTATCAAAACGTCATAAATGTCTTTCGTCACCTGTCAAGTGACGCGAAAGGTTATGATCGGCTTTGTTTTATTTTCAAACTACATCTTTTCAGCGCAGAAACTAAGTTAAGCTTGGTTCAAAATATTTTAAATAAACATTATAATTTCTGATTTTCTAAGTTTTGAAAAAATCATAATTGATTTTTAAAAGAATTTCTAACTGAGATTTTATTTTTTTTTTATAAATTGGAAAAATGGCTGACACGATCGATTATCTGTCAATTTTGCTGTCTAAAATAAACAAGATTTTCAACGAAAATTTTGGACGTGCTAGGAACGATTAAAAAATGTAAAAAATATCCCAAAAATACTTTGATCTTTCCTCTTAATAATAACATAAACATTTAGATGATAAAGTTTTGTTTTCGTCAAATTTGGCGTATTTTTCCTCATGCTATACTCTTTTTAGCGATCTCATGTAGATACCTATATTATTATTATTATTATTATTATTATTTTCTATATCTTGTTTTTCTTTGTACAATAAAATTTTAAACTGCTATTACATATATTTTATTGACAGTACCACTAAAATAGAAATAAGAGGCCAAATCTTTATAATTAGAATAAAAACGTGAAATTTATTTGATAGTATAAATAATTATATTATGCAACCATCATGTAAATTTGGAATGTTAATGTGGTGGCCATTTCAAGCAAAAAGATGAGGACTTGTTTTAAATCATTGTTGTTCTAACTTCTCACAAATTTAGGTATACTCATACAAAGGAAAACAGTAAACAAGACCCCAGAATATCTGTAAGGCAATATCCACCACTAAAATAAGTAAACTTTATTTGTTTATAATGTAAGTAAAAAGCCTTTAATAAAAAATATTTGATTTTTGGTCATTAATTTTCCGCGCATTCTATTCTATGCAAGATCGAAATCTTCTATTTTACTGTTTATTATTAAACCTGATTTTAGTTAATTATTAATAACCTACAATGTCACAGGAGACAGGACGAAAAATTCAAGAATTTCAAAACAGACTTAATTTTAATTAAAAATTGAAATGAAATATCTTTTAAAAATTAATCTTTCAGTTTATTTTTTTGAGAACCCAATAATATATTTTCTCTTTTTGTTACCATATTCCATAAAAAAAATCTTTCTCAAAAGATTTTGCAAAACAAATATTAGACAAGAAATATCTACGCAAAATCTAACTACTACTGAGTTGAAATTGTTTTTCATTTATTTTTATCAACTGTCAATTATTAATTTTTTTTAATTGGTATTTTCAACTTTCTGTAGTCTTAGTGTTAAAACAATAAAATACGAAATAAGAAATATTTCGCAAACGAAGCCATTTTATCAACTTTATTTATAATCTATAAATAAATAAAAAATTGTCGAATTCTTATAATTTGTTAATGTTTTTTATTTAAGCATTCCCTCTAACTGATTACGCTAAAACTTTGTGAACAATGGATTTGCCCAAAAGAAAATAAAAGTATATGATGTGATTTTGTTTGCGGTGTGTGTCTCTGCTCGGTCCTAACCGAACTTAAGGGAGTGGCCGTAGGTCCCCTGAGCATCCGTAGATTATTCGACCGGTCCACTGGTTTAATCCTGCTTCCTGCCCACGTTGTGATTGGTTTGATCCAGAAAGCAGAAGTGATGTTCATCCATTCACGGTCGACTGAAGATGTAGACACGGTTGGAGAGTCGACGCTAAGAAATTTAGAATGCAGCAATAAAAAAAAAATTAATATCTGCAGAAAGCCGGACAAACAACTATTCAGTGGTTGAATTGTTAATGTCTTTTATATATCAGAAAAGAATAGTATAGAAATGAAACGGCTTACAGAAAAGGAAAGTAATTGATGTAAAAAATCATACACTGGATTCTAGAGAGAGAGAGTTATGATTAACTTGTTGTTAAATCGTCTCAGAACGATATACGACTCTTGCGATGGGGGTGGGGAATAAGATTTCTGTGCGCGGCTTAAAGTTTATAGTGACGTTCCTCCTTAGCAGTAGTAACAGTAGTAGTAATATTCGTGGTAGCAGAAGCAGCAGTGCTTATATCAACAGTGCATGTTAGCGGACGCTTCATTCCAATCTCTGACGTCACTTTGTCTCCAGCTCGACTCTCCACGGTCTAGCCCAACTCTTGCCCGGGCTAATTCTCTTCTCCAGTCTCGCAGAAAATTTTCTCCCGTCTCTCCTGTAGCACCGCGGGTCCCCACGCACGTGACGGCACGCAGGCGACGACGGCGTGCCGACCGATCGCGGCCTCTTCCGTCTCTCTCTTCCGTCTGCCTCTTTTTCAGCATAACTGCGCGTTTATATTGAAAAAACCGGCTACTTCAATCAAAATCATGTGAATTCTAAAGGTTCTCATTGCTTATTCAGCTCTATTCCAAGTTTTATATCAATAAAAATTATTTCGACCATTTCCATTGTCTTCTAATGACCCAGTTCCAAGGAGTACAACTCCTGCCCTAGATCTGATTTCCCATCAGTAAACAAAATGCTCTGATCTAATTTTGCTATTCAAATCTACTCCCATTTTTCATATATATATATATATATATATATATATATATATATATATATATATGTGTAATCAAACATTCGCTTGAAGATGAAATGGAACTAATGCTTTTAATTTAATTAGCAAAATTAAATTCGGGGTTTTTAGCTTCTATTTTTGAAACATGGTTGGAACTGTGTAGCGAAAAAAAACATATTTTAAATCAATTAATTTATAATATATATATATGTGTGTGTGTGTGTGTGTTTCCCAGACTCTCTCTGTCACAAGATTATGTTCTAGGTTTTATAGTCTTGAAACAATGCTAACAAACAGGCGTCTTGGCAGATCAAGTGGAGGTAATCCCCAAAATTTTACTCCATTTAGTTCAATCTAGTATAAATATTTACTCCGATTAGAATAAACCAACATAAATGTTTACTCAGTTTATTTTAATTCAACATAAAGTTTTATTCCGTTTATTATTAGAAGAACTAATTTCCCCATCTTTGTTGTTATTATCACAACGTTTAGGAAGTTGTGCGCTCTCAGATATCTATTGATCCGAGTGACATTTAAATGGAACTTTTATTTAATCTATGAGGGTAGATTGTTCTCGTCTTGTTCTTTTTTCGTAATGCTCAGTTATTGCTCACCAAGGACAATACCTTATTCTTAACCCTTCTTCTTGTTCGCACCCCTTTCAAACCACCAACCAGATTTCGCACCCTTTCAAGCCAATAACCATTTTCGCACTCCTTTCAAATCAACAATCATCTCACCTCACTTCCAGAATTGATGAAAAACAATATTGATTTCATGTGTAAATAACAAAACCATTGTGTTTCTTTTCATCTTTATTCACATGACTGACAACAAAATCATCATGTTCGCTCTCTGCATGCTGAAATGACTCTGACTTCGAATCACTGGGGACGAAGTGGGCGCGCAGATGACTAATGAGTCCGATATTCGCCCTGCAAAGTCCGTTGCAGTTGTGACATGGGATGCTGGGGGTTGAACCAACCCGGGAGGCGGAATCATCTTGATCTTTCCTTTTCTGGTGTCTCTATTCTTTGTCCCTGATTCACTTCGACCTTACAAGGGAGAGCCAGAAGGCACGGTCCTCAGCAGACTCTTCCCAGGTTGTATGAGGAATACCACAATGATTGAGAGACTCCTTCAGCGTGTCTTTGTAACCTTTCTTTGGTTTACCGTGTGAGCGCTTGCCTGTGGATAGCTCGCCATAGAGCAATCCCTTCGGGAGGTGACAGTTGTCCATGTGGCGGACATGGTCAGCCTACCGGATCTGATAGCGTAGTAAAGATGGCACAGATGACAACAAAATAATGCATTACAAAAACCCAAATTACTTTCATATAAGCAAAAAATAAAATTACGCTGTTATGATTGTAGCAATTGGTAAAATTTCTACAATATAAACTTTTATGTCAGAGTTTCCTTAATAAACGAATCCTAATGAGTTGGTATCCTCGTACCCCTTAGGAATCGATATCGCACCCCTAGAGAGTGCACGTACCCCTGGTTAAAAACCACTGCCTTAGTGGATTAAAGCATTGGTTCGTGGTTCTAGTGACATAATAATTTTTTGTTCAATTCCTGAGTATTACTAAAACAATTAAATTAAAAACATGCGATATCCTGAGATATAGATATACATGAGAAAGAAAAAATCTACCCCTATAGATTAAATAAAGGGATCAGTACGAATTTCCCTGAAGGTTACGCGGATCGCCAGATACCTGAAGAAAACCGGAGGGAATTACGACCGAAACGTTGTGATAATAACAATAAAGATGAGGACATTAGTCAGAATGTAAATAATATATATAATTCTAACTGTTCACCCCAGAAATTTAGACAGAAAAAAAAATCAGTATTCCAAATCCACTCTTTAACATAGTCACCTCTCTTCTCAGTTGTAGCATTCCACCTTTGAATGAAGAAAGGGAATTCTACCCTGCCTGGGAGGAGCTTTTTGGTTACTGTCTTAATTATGAGTGATTTGCCTGTTTCAATTCATGTCGTCTGAGTACATCCTTCTTGGGTTCAAACAGATGAAGTTCTAATGGTGCCATTTCATGGAGAATGTTTGGGAACCCAATTACACAGACCTTTGAATAGCCAATAGACAAACACTAAACTGAAGGCTCTATACAGACTCATTTGAAGACTTTCACAGAATTTTGCGATAATGATATTTTTGTTAACTTATTTAGCCTCATCCTTACTCTCTCAAAGTAGTAGCTGGCCTGCGATTGTTGGGCTTGTCCCTAAGGTCATGTACTCCTTTCTTTTTAAGATTCTTATTAACTCTATCGATACATCTCCTTACTGTGCTTGCATCATGTGAAGTCTTCACAAAAACATTCTCTAACCTCTTGTGAACATTTGCAGTTTTTTCTCATAAAGAAAACAGAAATTCTATGAGAGCTCTTTGTTCTTAACTTGAGAGGGTATTATAGAGAGAAAAAGAGAAAGTAACTCACCCACTTGGCTTCTAAACACTTTATGGCTTACAGCTAAATATTCACGGAAATTTAATTTCAGTTTAAATTAGAACAGCTACTACAATTTAAATTTAATACATATATACATATATATGTACGTGTGATTGTGTGAGTGTGTCTGTGTATATTGAACACAAGTAATGGTAATATATTTGATCTGATAACATTTGTATTAGTATTCAACTATTAATACAAATGTTATCAGATTTGATCATTTATTTTCCACTCACTAAATTGTTTTCATCGCAGTATTTTCGTATTTCTCTCTCTTTTTCAGTGCATGGAACATGATACGATGAAGAGTCAGTTGTAAAAAATGTTGTATTTCTCACAATGATTGTCAAGGAATTAAGATATCACAGTTAAATATAGTAACGTGTAACGCATTCCCACAGACAACCTTACTCTTGAACTAGCAGGTTTGACGTGTCGATATCAGTCATAACGTTACCTGTGATGCCTACGCAAAGTTTTACCCTGCTCCCCGGGCAGACAAAAGAAGTTGGCTCCTTTCCTTTCAAAACGAAGAATTCCATCTTGTTTAGTAGAAGTCAGAGAAAATGGATTTCTAATAAGGGGTTTCTTCAGTCACACTTTTCTCATCTCCTTCTCCTCCTTTTTCCTCTCTGTCTCCACTCTCTCTTTCTCTCTCTCTCTCTCTCTCTATCTATCTATCTATCTATCTATCTATCTATCTATATCTATATATATATATATATGTATTTATATTACATGCTATACTATAATATATACTACTGATATATATATATATATATATATATATATATATATATATATATAATATTTTATTAACCCATTTATAACTTAAATTTAAAATCGAGCAGTCTTATGACGTAAGTGAAGGAATATATATATATATATATATATATATATATATATATATATGTGTGTGTGTGTTTGCATTTGGTTTAACGGCAAATCAACTCCTTGTGGGTCATTTAATGGCGAGATTTATTTTTCTTGGGAGCTTTCGTAATTTTCTTTTTTACTATTAAAATCTATTTCTAGAAAATTTTAGTATAAAAATGTATTTTTATACTTTCATAGTGTTTTGACCACAGTGATGAGCTTATCAATTCGCCCATAGCTGAGACCCTAACAGCTGCTACCACCTCGGGTCTGGGTGGATATAGGGAGTAACAGCAATTAAGATGTGATTCTACGCTCTTAAAAACCTCCTAACCAGAGACCTTGCTGCCTGGTGTAGTTTATCATCATAATAGGATGAATAGTTGTGTGCGTGTGTATGTGTAGCCATATAAAGGACAAGGTGATAACGTTCATATGCATCTGTTACTCTTACTTGGATATATTCCATCAATAACACCTTTGAACCTGCTCCTCAAAACGAAAGCACCTCAAGTTTTCTGTCTTTTCATTCCTTTGACTTACACACACACACACACACACACACACACACACACACACACACACACACACACACACACACACACACACACACACATGTGTGTGTGTGTATTTCGTAAAAGACGACTGACAAGGTAGTGAAATTAAGCTTTTTATTTAATTTTTTTTTTTTGTGTTCGTAAAAATGTTTTCTGGACAGAAAGTGTCTAAAACCTATCCAAATGTTCTGCATTTCCGAGCGCGTTTGTCTATGCTTTTCGCCATTAACAGGGATGGTTTTATTTTTACTTTTTAACTGAATATATGGGTTGCGTGTATGTATCTAGAGTTGTAGGGATGTTTTATTTTCCAAACAGTGTCAGCACATTTTGGCCGTGTTCGTAGTTGAGTTTTGGCGTTTCCTTTATTATTATTAGGGCTTCCACTATTTTTAATCTTTTTTACATGTGGATGAGGTTATTATGCTTGTATTTTCTATTTTTGTGTACGTTTAATTGTTTTCTAATGGAGATGTGGTCGGATAGATGTAATGTAAGTCGTCTAGATAGCCATGTTTGGTTTGATCAGGAACAACACTTTTGGGCATTAGAACTCGTAAATAATGTTGGTTGTTTGTAGTTTTGGCTTTGCAGATGTGTTCTTATTTTTGATAATAAGTTTAGCTATTAATTCGGGTCAACTGCTCCATTGGAATTCATTTAAACGCACACACAAACCTACCAGACCCCACCCGAAACATACTAGTAGAAAATACAAGTAGAATAACTTCATCACGTGTAAAAAAAAAAAAAGATTGAAAATAATGAAGCACTACTACTAATAAAAAGAAAAAGTCAAAATTCAAAAAGTACGAACACAGCCACCATGTATAAAAGTAGGATTATTGCCTACACAAACACACACACACACACACACACACATATATATATATATATATATATATATATATATATATATATAAATTTTGTAATTTTATGTGTCTCTCGTTTCGTGCACATGTGCAGACGTGACAACATCAACAAAGCCCTGTCCAACGGTTTGTCATATTTTTATATATATATATATATATATATATATATATATTGATAATATTAGTGGTCAATATATATATATATATATATATATATATATATATATATAAATTTCCAAGAGGAGAGAATCCAGGTAGAACTCAATGTCCAGGACAGAGTAAGAATATAATAAAAAAAGTCTCAAATACTAATATTTTTGAATTTGTAGGTCTGATGAATTGGATCGTGATTACGATTCCAATGTAATAATTATAACCATAGAATATTAGTGTTTGAGCTTTTTTATTATATATCTCCACAAATATTCTTAAATGCCTATAATTGATAACAGAAGCCATTGGTTTATATCAACGGCTTCCCGTACTTGATACTTCTCGTTTACACTCTCGCGTGGTCATGTGTGACGTCACGAGCTGCGATGCGATTTTCGCTTCCGCGTCTCGTATACTCGAGTTTGTCATTGCTTTGAAATTTTTCATGCAACAAAAACAGACTATCATTATTGTTTCGTCCGTGTATTGTTTGATATATTGAAATGTAATTGTCATCTTTGATAACGGCTTATGTAACCGAAAGCTTAGATAGGATTTAAGCATGTATCAATATGGTGATTTCCATTTGTCTTTCAATAATAATGTTATTAAGCTTATCAGACAATATGAAAGGAACTTACTTAAAATAAATAGACAAAACTTGTCTATATTATTTAATGAAAACAGGCAATATATATATATATATATATATATATATATATATATATATATATATATACCCTTCTATCTTAGAGACTTTACTACCGTGCATGGGGGTGATATATATATATATATATATATATATATATGTGTGTGTGTTCTCCCATAAACTAACTAATCGTCCACTCAGCATAATTGCAGCATAAACTACAACTAGCTCTGTCTACAACCAGCTCTATCTACGCCCTTTTTTTTTTTTATTTAACAGTGTGTATTCCGTCTGTCTGTATAATCGAGTGGCTTATTAAAGAGAATCTGCATTACGGCAAGTTCGAACTTTCGTTCTCCTGTTTTAGGAGAAACCGCCATCTAATCCTGTGTGTTTTATATATTTTAGTCCGTAATTATCCATTACGCTAGAAAAAAAATGTGATTTTTAACAAATATTTTGCATTTATTGTCTACTTTACTTTCTTTCACTCTGAACTGGAATATATATCCACAATATATATATAAAATAAAATGTATGTTGCGAAATAATGCTTTGTCATCAGATATGTAACGAAGAAGCTAATGAAATCTATTTTAATGAAATTTCTTATTTCATGATAAAACTTCTTTTTTTTTAGTTGCTGATCGATGCAGCCATTGTAGAGTGTGATCATTACAGGTATTTCTCCCCCATCCACATGCACAATAGCAAGTAAACAAATATGAACCACTGCAAAAATCTTCAAATGTCGAACGAATGTAACTAGAATGTTTCATGGAATGATTTGTTTAACGCCATGTCCCTTCAGGATGTAGATGATCATGTTTCTCCGTTATCTGTCAATGACAGAGAAAGATAGTAATGAGGTTTCTCGTTATCCGTTTAGAATTCAGAGTAATCATTCTCTTTTGCTGCTGGCTGACACGCAAAGCCTACCCCTGCTATTTAACCCTTGGCTGAGTAGAGAAGAAATAGATTTATGCTTTTCACAAGAGCATTAGTGCCACGTGATCGTAAAAGATTAGGTCAGTATTTGAACTTAGTTCGTCATTATCTGTTCTGCGCGGATAGCCGTTACGTTAGCCGCACATAACTCCTCTATAAATAAATAATATAACATTTGAATACATGAGAAATGCACATGCATTAATCTGTCAGATTCCTGATCTTGCATTTCTCGTTGTTGTTTATACGACAGAATCATAATGTTATTTAATTCATTACATTACTCAGCTGAAAACCTGTCCTATTTAAATTACATCTAGTTTTTGTGCATATACACGTTACTATATATGAAAAGTCTGCATATGGAAAGGTAGTTCTATGAGCACATACGCGTACTCACATATTCCGCCATCTTATACTTTTCATCTTTCAGTTATCAAGGCATCGTAAACTGGCCTTTTCACACCGCTGAACACGAGTATTATTTTCATTGGGCATTCTGTAATCCTGCTCTAATGTTAGTACATGTCACATTTGTAACAATAGTGAAGTTAATTTGTTTTTCTATATATATGTAGATATTTATGGCTCGTCTTTCACAGGTATAATTCAGATATGAACGTTTGTTTCTAAGATGGATTATGTGAAAACCAGGTTTGATGTTTAAAACGTTATTCTTTTTGGCAGTAAGAACTGGAAAAAAATCAAAAAAAAAAAAATCAAATAAATCGTTACCATGACACTCTTGTTACTAAATTTGAAAGTTTTGAAAATTTAAGAGTTACTAAAACTGAAAATAAATATCTGTGAACAAATCAAATTGTATATAGGAAGATATTAAAATAAAATTTAAGATATAGTTATTTGATATAGGAAAAAAAAACTTGTGGTAAAAAAAACAAATCTTGTATCTCTAGAGAAAATAGCGAATACATAAATCTAATTCTAATTTAGGACAATATTATTTTAGGTATTAAAGACATTCTAGAATAAATTTAAATAAATCTAGTTAAAATTTTATTGAGTTTAACCAGTGCATATTTTAATATTATTATATTTAAATATTATCTTAACCAGAAAAGTATGTACGTAGATATTTTCTTGGTAGAGGATAAAAGTATCTTTGTTACTGGTACCTAATAGGTGTGTTTGTGAAATGATTAGGAAAGCTGACTTTCATGGCTGACACGTCCTCCTCATCTTATAACTAGAGCCACAAATTCTTCTTTCTGTACTAGCAATCAATATATTCTTGCATTTGTAAAATAAACTGTATATAAAAGAGTAACGATTTGGACAAAAGAATTGATAGACATTTTGGGAACTTTTCTTTTATAGCCTTATTTTATATTGTTTTTATGAGCTCGTAGTTTGTTTTTAATAATATTGAAAGGAAACGCTGGAACGAAAGATTAGTAAAGAAAAGGTTTAAAAGAAGAAAGGTCCATGGATTAATAATACAATAATAGCCGTAGTTCAGTGCGGAAATGCGTACGACTCAACGCAGCGCCTTGCGACTCCTGTTCCTATGACGTCTTACTCATAGTAAATAGACTAGTCTATATCCAACAATTAGTGTAGAGATGGTAGGTCGTTTTACTAAACAACAATCTTGTTAAGCGTGTTTTCGTTACTATTAAAAAGCATTCATGTAATAAATAGAATGTTTATTTTCCTTCTATGAACATTAGTAACACTACTAGAGAATTAATTTCACCATTTGTGTAAATTACACATAATTCATTTGAATGTTAAAATCTTGTTCCATGATAGAGACCACACTAGAAAAATATTTTGGTGAAGCACTACGCTGTTCGAATATTGGTTAATGCCAGAATTCTAAACTATTTTCTCAGACCAACTATCCTTCAATTACATAATATTTTGAACAAACTTGATCATGAACAAAAAAAAATGTATTCTAGAAGACTCATTCTTTTTGAAGGCGGTTGTATGTAAGCCATTTTTTATGAGTTTGTTGTTTATTAAATATCATTTAAGAATATTTGAATTTATGAGGTCGAAACTGATTTGATTATAGTTTTTGATTCTGATTATCATAAGTTGTTGCACAAATTTATCTTTCTGTCTAAATGATATTCATTTAAACTAACAAAAAGAAATACGGTTGCGAGTTGTGATAAGAATATTGCTAATGATGATTAATGTGGGTAACAGCGACCCCGGGTATCTCCTTTCTTACACTACCTACAGAAAATTACCCAATACTAAGAATTTTTCTCAAGAATATTTTTTCTTTCTATTTTATGAGCAAGCAACTATAATCATTATCTCTGAAGGTAAATACTTCTTTATCGTTGTCGATCTCTCTTCTACTCTTTATCTTTTTTGCTGATAAACCTCTTGGGTTTTCTTCCTCTCTTTTTAGTATTTTTCCTTTCGCTGTTAAATCGCACGCTTCCTTCATTTATTAACGATTTTCAGTTGGGCTGGATAATTCTGCGTTATTTGCGTTGGATGTTTTCATGAAAGTGCAAACATTAACAAGAAAATAAATATAGTAATAGTATTCAATGTAGAAGAAGAAGGAAGAAGAAAAAGAAAAAGGAAGAAGAAAAAGGAAAAGGAAGAAGAAGACTAAATTACTAAATAAATAAAGACGAGCAATGATGCGTCATGATGAAATAAGAATCAGTAACTAACCATGTTGTATCTGTAAAAATTACTTCCAGTGCCATTTAAATGATTTATTTAAGCGTTATCGTCTTCCATCAAAAATATAATTAGAACTTCAAACTACATTATACTGCGTCCTGTTTGTTAAGTGACGAAGCTTAAGCTTGACAATAAGTCCTCTCCGAACTATTTAGCTAATCGTCGACAATGAGTTGTGCTGACAGTTTCCAAACTTATGTAAGTTATTGAAAAATAGAACGTTAACAGATGATTATATAGTATAAGGAAATATAGGATTTGCTAATTAAAAAGTAAAAGATGAAGATAATTTCGGTTAATGTAAAGAAACTATTTGAAAAACGAACTTCTTTTGAAATTCCTTGCTGCTTTTAAAATCTACAATGGAAAATGGTGATAAGTATATTCTAATTCAGTAAGAAAATTTGTGAAATTAGAGTTAATGTTTTTTGGGGTAGTTTAGGTTGTTTGGAAGTGTTACATTCATTGTAGGTATACGAAACATCGATAGATGGATAGGTCGTAAGATAACATATGAAAATAGACTAAAAGTGTTTTGGCTAATGCGAACTTCAGCTATAGAGGTATGATATAGGATATAGATGAAGCAATTACAATTGTATGATAAAGTTTTGATTGTATTCTACTTGACAAATGTCCCTTTGAGTATGCTGATATTTCCCAAAATTAAAGCTCAGAATAAAGATTGGACCCCCCCCAAAAAAAAAAGACGCTCTTCATCTACACAGTTTCCTGCCACCGATTATCGTTTATTTTTGGTCTATTATTGTGAAGAATCCTAAAATTCAACAAAAATCAACTGAGAATCTTGACCGGATCACTAAAATTAAAAGAAGTAGAAATGTGATTAAACAAAACTCTAGAAGCCAATAAAAACTTTTGCTATGAAACAGACAAAAGCGTTAAATAATGGGCCTGTCCTTGGAAAGAAGTTAAGAATCTCACTGCAAGAATTATTTTCTCACTCACGCTGACAGTTCGAAAATCTTTAAATATTAAACCTAGAAATGTTTGTTGTGAAAGAGAAAATTATGTATCTTTCTTTCTTTCGTTCTTTTTTAGGATCAGATTCTTGTAAGAATTGAAATATTTTTCACCAGATAAGTGGTTTTTGTCTATCATGTCTTTTACTCTATTAGAGTTGCAATCGTGATTTGCTGTAATATTTTTGCAATATTTGAACTTGTAACGCCAGATGGCAGCATTTTTGTTATGTTTTGTAATGGCTGATTACTGCCTGTTCGGAAATGTTTACGAAAGTGAAAGGTGAAAAAGCCGAATCCGTGAAATGGCAAAGTACATCAATAATATCGGCTAGAAACTATATTTAAAGACTTGTGTATGAAAAACCTTTTAATAATAGTAATGTTAATGATAATGATGAAAATAGCCATTTCCATACAGGAAACATTCGAAATTTAAATATCTAGGAAGTGTTTTAACAGAGGACGGAAAATGCTACGTTGAAATCAGAAGGCGTAGTGGCATATCGAAAGGTACCTTCTAAAAGCTAAGCACAGTATTAAGAAACAGAGAGTACTGAACTGTTATGTAATATCAATATTCCTATATGGCAGTGAATATTGGACAATCTACTCACAGATGAAGAAGAGACTTGAAGCAACAAAAATGTGGTTCTACAGGAGGATGCTGAGAATACCATGGACCGAACATGTGAGCAACGATGAAAAGTAGCAACAGAAAAGGACATATATACCTAACATCAAGAAGAGACAGCTGAAATTTCTAGGAAACATATCAAAGAAAGAGGGCTTGGAATATTTGATACTCACAGGACAGATTGAAGGCAAGAGAGACAGAGGAAAACAATGCATAACCTTCTTGGTTAGCTTGAGTAAATGGATGATGGAACAAGATTTTGGGGAACATAAGAAAAAGACAAAAATTATTAAAAGCTACAAAGAACAGGTAATTGTGGAGAGCCATGATCGCCAACACCCTAAAAGGGACACAACACATAGAAGACGAATCTATCTATGTTTATTTGTTTCTGTCGTTCTTACTATGAATGAAATCATCAATATATATATCAATGTAATAAATTACAGTTTGCTTATGTCACTTTTTGCCTTTCTCAACGTATGAGTGGTAATTCAACTTCATTATAAACAAAAGTATTTATTTGCGTTTGGGAGCGATTTAGTTTCAGTGTCTATACAGTTAGCCCATTTTCTAAGAAACGGAGCACCTCCCCATGCTCCCTCTCAATCATCTCCACCAATCACAACGAATACTTCCACTATCTCACCTTACAATTACCTGAGCCCAGGTAAGTAAGCATCTCACTGTTGGTTGTCAAGTGATAAGCGTACTTTTTGCCATGACGACCAAATGCAGAATCAGGAGTTTGAGTCCCAACGGCAGATCGAATTACTGACCCCAAATCTCATTTGGGAAACGCGCTGTTTCTTCTTTTTTCCTTAAATAATTTGCTGTTTTTCGGTTTAGTTTTTTTTTACATGATTTCAATGTTCTTTCTTTCTTTCTTTCTTTCTTTCTTTCTTTCTTTCTTTCTTTCTTTCTTTCTTTCTTATTTCCTTTATTTTAATTTTCTTCTCATTTTAATCTATTCTCTTTTTCCTTCATATTTATTGCTTTATATTTTTCGTCACATTTATTTTCCCTATCTCTCTCTCTTACTCTCTCTCTCTCTCTATCTATCTATCTATCTATCTATCTATCTATCTATCTATCTATCTATCTATCGTCAATACATTCTCGTAGTGTGAAAATTCTCTTAACATGCTTTTAATAATCAACAGTTAATGTCAAAGTCATGGCCTTGTGTCAAACCCAGTCGTAGTGAGACGATTGTTTTAATTTTATAGCTTGCTCCATGGGTGAAACAGTGAGTTTCTTAACGGCGCAAAAGGTTCGAGCCCAGTGAAAACTAACATTTTGAATGTGAACTTTTAAGCAGTTAAGCGTAATATAATATTTCAACTCACAGTTGGTCTTGTGCTTTACTATGCAAAATTACACTGGATTCCTGCCATTGAGTAATGGTTAGCAAACTAGTTTTGTAGACTATCAGTAACTACGATAAGCAGGAATAATAACTATAGAAATATCTATATAACTGCTTAAGTACAGCACAACTTAGTAAAATGAAAAAAAAGCGCTTCGACTATAAACAAAACAACTATTACTGTACTTACTGTCGATAATTAATGGGTTGCTTTTACTTAGAGAGCGTAGTGTTTGTATAAAAGCAGCCAAGACAGTCAGAATGTTGGTGGGTAAGTAAATTCGCTATTCGTAAGGCAATCTACGTGGACGAGAGGGGAGGGGTAGAAGAATATACCACAGAAGAGAGAAAGAGAAAGAGAGAGAGAGAGAGAGAGAGGGGAGAGAAAGAGAGAGATGGAAGTGAAAATAATGGGTTGCCTGTATAAGGAAACGAAGAAAGACTCCAAGGATATTTAACTAATGTGTCTTGCATATTCAGCTGCTGTGTTTATTGGTATAACGTAGAACGTCGAAATTGGAAAAAACGGTTTGATATTTTTATCCCTGCGATATTACAGATTTACTTATTCTAGAATTGACTGACAACAGAGATTATAGGGCTTCGAAAGACTTTCCTAAGGCTTACTTGTAGACATAAAAACTGGATTTCGCCTCGTTAATATTTTACAGGGATGGCTGGTCTAAGAACAAATGTCTTCTTCAGATGAGCGACAAAATAGGTCCAGAAATTAGAAGACCTCTTGTAGATTAGATATGAGGGAGCGGGTTTATAATAAGTTAGAAGGAAAAAGAGAAGATATATATATATATATATATATATATATATATATATATTGTTTTCGACAATAAAAATATTCAAAAATTAAAATTTTCAGACACACTGGCTTGTATATTAATATTTTTTGTTTTATTATTTCGATTAGGTTCCTCGACTAGTTTCGGCCAGCATGGGCATCATCAGGAGAAAAAAATTAATAGAAAAAAAATTTCTGCTTGTTAGTAGCAGTGAACTACAGGAGTGAATGAATGTTTATGAAGAAAGTGAACTTTATTTGTAGTTTTCATTTGTCTTTTATCGTTAATTTTGTTCGGTCCTTATGTTGGTCAAATGGCCTCTTTTAAGTTGTTTTTAAGATATAAGCTGGGGAGATTCATGAGTCGCAGAATTCCCTTTTTGATAGTTTTATTCGTTACTGGGAGGGGGTGTTATGTGTATGTTTCTTTTAATTCTTTGGGAGTGTGTATGATGTGTGTAGACTATATATTGGTACGACTGTGTATAAGTGTGAGACCTCAACACTTCTGCAAGCATGTCTGTTTTGTGTGAGCAAGAAATGTGGGTAGGGCTTGATTTATGGGGTTATATATTAATTCCATTTATGTTATTAAATTTGTGGTTAAGCTCGTCTGGACGAAGTGTTTTGAGGCGCAAAATCCATTTTGTCGTCATGTTCTTCTAGTATTTTTCTGAGCTTATCTTTCCTGTCTATTTCTATTTTTTCAATTATAGTGAATTTAACATGGATTTTAAAATCATGTTTTTCTAGGTGGAAATGTTCTTTCGTGGAGAGTCGACTTGATCAGATTCCGATAATTATTAATTCTGTATTGAAAGGGCCATTCAGATTTTCCCATATATTGTTTCTATCATAGTGTGCATTCTAATAGGCAAATTATGTTATGACTTCTACAGTTAGAGTTGTGGTAGATTTTGAAAGTAGATTTAGCGACTGAGCTAATGAACGAATTGGTATGTCTAATGTGGTTACTACATAAGATCCTTTTGTTGTTACGTGGTTGGGAAAATCCTGTTGTTTTTATTTTTGGCCTATTAATATCATCTGAAAATTGGTTATTACCTATAATTTCCTTAAGGTTCTTAGGTCTACGATATGCTAGAAGGGCGAGTTCCTTAAACAAAATTTTTAGGTCTGATCTGAGATGTAGTATATCCCAGCGACTTTTGATTACATGAGATAGTGGAGAAAGAGTGGTGTTAAAAGTGGTTACTAGAGGGATGTGTTTGGATTTATTTTTAATTTTATACATTAGGGTGTTTTCTCTAGGTGTGGAAATTGCTTTATTTATTTGTTCCCTGATTAGGTGTTGTCTATAGCCACGTGTTGTGAATTGATGCTCTAGATTTTTAGTGTTTATTTAGTTCTTCATTGTTGGAACATATTCTTCTGGGTTTACGTGCTTGTGAATAGGGAAGGTTCTTCTTGAGGTGTTTTGGGTGGGAAGACTTAAAGTGTAGATAGTTGTGGGTGTTGGTTATTTGAGTGTGTAGTTTCGTTTGTAGTTTTCTGTTTTATCGATGGTGTCTAAAAATGTTACTGATCTTTTTGTTACCGATTTTTCGTGGTCGAACTTAATGGAATCGTGTAGCGAACTTAATGGAATCGTGTAGGGTCATAAGGAATTCAGTGAGTTTCTCCTCACTACCTGTGAGCATGAAGAATATATCATAGACATATCTAGCATAGAATATGCAGTCGTTACTGATGAAGGGATAAATATGGGTCTTCTCAAATTTCCCCATGAAGATTGTGGCATATGATGGAGCTGCAACGGTGCCCATGGCACATCCTTTTACTTGTAGGTGGCGTTCTCCACTGAAATTGAAAGTATTCAATGTAAGATTATGTTCCACGAGTTTTACGATTACATCTAGGGGGGTGTCTTGTTTCGTTCTTTTAGTGAGTGTTTCTTCGATGTGTTTTATGTTTGAATAAAGTGATCTTACGCCCATGATTACTTGAGTAGCATTTTCTAGCATTGCTTGTATATGATTAATTCTGTTTAGTAGGTCTGTTGTGTCTCTGATATAGGATTTTACTTCCTTAGCTAGTGGCTGTATGTAATGGTTTACATATTTGGATATTTTCGTCGTATGGCAGTTAAATGATGAAATGACCGGCCTTTCCGGGTTGTTGTTTTTTGTGCATTTTGGGGAAGGAGAGAGAAACGGGCAGGTGTGATGTTCGTCAGTGTAAGTGTTGTGTATGTTTCCTTATCAGTTAGTTTGTTTTGAAGCATTATTAATTATTAATTAGCTTGTTAATTTCTTTTTTTGAGGTCTGAGGGTAGGCATTTTAGGTGTTTTTGTAGGTTAACTGATTCTTGGCCTCTTTAAGGTATTCTTTGATTTCCTAGATCACTGTAGTACCACCTTTGTCAGCCTGTGTAATGATTAGGTCATCTCCATGTGTCAGCGTGTCAGGGGCTACCCGTTCCCCTTCAGTGATATTGTTATGTGACAGCTTACTTACTGTTTTTTTCTTTATGCCATTTGTTACTGCCATTTCAAATTTTACTGTTACACCCAGTGTATATATATATATATATATTCACCGGGTGTAACAGCAAAACTGTCCAAAATGTGTAACAAAATTTTTCAGTTGTTACATTAAACTTTGAACCGTTGTATCTTAGAAATGATTAACGATATCTTACTGGAATTCTCCGAGCTTTTTATAACACAATTGGTCTCTACTTTGAACAATAAGAATGTATTTAGCCCTAAGCTGAAATGATGATCCTTCTTGCTGTTGTGGGCTCCTGATTCAGTTTTCCTCTCTGCTTTTCCCTCTTTTTTAAACTTATTCACTGTTCTCTTGATGGTTCTTGAATGGGCTTTGAAGGTGGAAGCCAGAGTATGAATGTTGCTACCATTACTGAACGGCTGAATGATCAATTGCGAGGGCATAGTGGGGCTGACACAAAACGATTTTAAGCTGTTCTCTTTCTAGCTAAGTAGTATAAACGATTTTTCAGTGATTCTTACGACAAATGGTGTCAAGATGGCTAAACGTCTTATCTGAAAAAAAGAAACTCAATTAGTTTTGTGTTTTTTTTTAGATATTAGATATCTATATTTCTGAGATGAAGTATTATGTACACTATTTACATTGTTCGGACTATCATCTTCATTGCCATATTTATCACAACGTTTCGGTCGTTGTACGCTCCATCCTTCTTCAGGTGGTTGGAATGACGAACTGAACCCTTTATTTCGCTCGCTGGGGTAGACTGTTCTAGTTTCAAGTGCCATGTCTAATGGATGTCAGTTATCAGTTATCTCTTGTTAATTCACCTTTCTAAGTTCTGCACCGCCTTAACCAGGTATTGAACTCACACTCTTTGGGTCCTGTCACTGGATCTAACACCTTTATCCACTGTGCCATGTGTCCATTTGTCCTTAACACGGACGAATCTCGAGTGACTTTTGATGGACCTGGTGGATTTTACCAAAGGATGAATTTTATCCAATTCTGACGTGCCTGTGGCTAAAAGAAGACAAGAGGGAGGTGGTAGTGTTATGATTTGGGTTACAATTGTCGACCAAACCATTATAGGATAATTCAAAGTCGATGAAGCAGTTACGATTTTATGAACAAGAATTTCTTTGCATGGTACAAGTCCCAGTCTTGCAGTTTCATAGGGAAGTGTGTTTTCATGTACAACAATTCTCCTTCTCATTTCTCTACCCGTGAATAAGCATAATAGATTTACAGGAGAGAAGATAACGGAATGGCCACCATCAAATTCTGATCTGAATTCGATCGAAAATCTATGGTCAATTGTGGAGATGAAAAACAAACAATACAACACCAAAGCCGACCAATCGGAAGCAATTAAAACTACCACATTGAAAATTGAACCTGCTGAAGTAAAAAATAAAAATAAAATAAAATCAATGGATAATAGATTACAGGCTGTGATTGAGAAGAAGGATCACTATATTAAAATGTCAAGG